CTTTAGAAATCACTATTGGAATGCTCTAGACAGATATGACAAAGATCTTTTTATTTAGTCTTGAAACAACTGTAAGAAGAGAAGTGAAAGCAGAGAAAATGTCTGGATTAATTAACATTTTGTAAGACTGCAAACACTTCAGGTATTTGCATGTATTTCTACTGGAAGAACATGTGCCACATTTTCCAAGAAGCAATAATTGATCTCCAGCAAATGTGCCTTTCTAGTTACGATATCTTGAGAATCTGAACTTGAAAGGAAAAATATCTACTCTGAAGATATTTAATAAAATGAAGTTTTAATCTTTGTTGCTTTTGTTACCAATTTCCAGAGAAATAAAATAAATGAAAGCAAGTATATACGCCAATACCAACTAGATATTTTTTATGTATGTGCTAAATAAACACATTTGCATAAAATATGGAGATTTTTTCTATAAATTATCATTACTATGAAATGTATTTAGACAGCACTGATTTGTCATTTATGGTTCTAGAGTTAAACTTTTCACTTAGTAAAAGCACAAAAACGAAATTGTCTGATACACTAATAACCATAAAACATATGAAAAAATCCATAGAAAGTGGCACAGAACAGAAAATTAATACTTGATTGCAATGAGTGTTAACATTTCTCACTGCTTATAAAATGCATTTTCTTTTACCAGTTACCTTTGGAAATTCTTCCTATTGATAATACATAGGTTTCATTTGCAAATTTCAATGGACAAATGAGTTCTTAGGTACATCAATAAGAAATTTTACTTTAAAAAATGCACTAAACTATTCGACTCAAAATTTCCACACAACAATATAACAATGTTAAACAAATCTATAAATAGAATCTCAGAATAGTAATAAAGGACATATTAATTTAGAAACTTTTCTAAAAGAAATCAATACTACCAGGAAAAGATCAAAGGAAAACAAAACAAAACAAAAAAAAGAGAAAGAAATTCAAGTGAAATTGCAGGGAAAATAATAACAGACATTTAAAGATAAGAAGCACAAAAATGAATAAAACCATTGCTGTTTCTAGGACATACTAAAATTGGATAGCTGGGCTATAACATAAAATACGTATTAATATTCAGGACAAACTTTGGGGATATCATAGCAAATGTCTATTCTATTTGGAACAAATTCACTTTACAAAAAGTTTTCCCAGTTGGCACTCATATAATCTAAAAGAAATACTCTTTAAACTATGAGGAACTCTGTAGGACATGGCAGTAGGCCATCTTACCAAGTAGGTCCTTCACAGATACTCTGTTTGAAATTAACGTAGTTCATACTGTGAGAGAATATTATAAATATTGGAACTTATCACCAACAAATTTGTAATACTTGATTAAAAGATCTCATAGGAAATAGTCACTAGTGACAACAGAATACTTTCCATGCTTTGGAAGTTAATCAATTATTTGGCTTGGGAAGAAGAAAATTTAGAGAGGACATAAGAGTTTGTCTTCAAGTATTATAAATAATGTCACCTGGAAAAGGCATTAGACTTGGTCTGCTGAGCCACAAAGAAGAGAACTAAGAACAATGGATAGAACTATCAAAGAGGCAAACATAGGCTGGTGTAAGGAACAACCTGGAGCTGTCCAAAAGTTGAGAGGACTGACTTTGGTTCCCTCTCATTGTAAGTTGTCATGTCACATTTTAGGATGACCATTTTTTGGTTTCACAACAGATGATCAATGAGGTCCCTCCCAATTCAGATTCTATGAAACAGTTAAATATCTAAGTATATATGTATGTACACACACACACACACACACATACACACACACACACACCGTTTTTTCCAATGGTCAACATCAAGGGAATGGAAATTTAAGAAACAGTTGTCAATGTCCCGGTGAAGGCAGACCCAGTAAGAGTTAGGGCTTCCATGTTGCGGATAGCTGCTCACAATCACACAGATTTTTGTTTTCCTAGCTCAAAAATCAAATAAATGAAGCCCTGACACATGCAATGTGTGTCCTTCATCGAGGCTTGGAAAACCTGCTTTCCAGCTGTACTTTGATCAGAATATAAAAGAGAAATACTGAAAGATAGGCAGCTTTATCTTCTAGACCATATGACAAACCCATTTAGAAAAAGATTTTTGCTTTCTTAGTTTACATTTTAAAGAAAAGGTGTATGTGCTACAGTGTTGTCCTCATTGTCAAATAATTAACCTTGGGGTCTGTCTTATGGACAGGAAGTAGGAGTAACAGGAAGCTTTTCTTAGACACTGACAAATAGTGAGAATTTTTTATTCCTATGTTCTGTGGTGTAAGGAATGTTAGGTGTTTCAGTGGTTTCTTTCTTTCTTTTGCCCCAGACGGCCTATTACTATGGTATTTATGTATTCTAAAAAAGACATAAGAAGACATCTTGAATTATTGCCACTTCTCCCTCCAGCAAAATGTTTCTGAAACTTTTATTGACTTAAAAGGAATTCTTTGACATGGCTTGACTACTACTTAATAGGCAAAATGAAGTCTAAGAGGCAAAGGGAACTAGAAAAATGTTGTGCCTAAATCACAGATCTATATAACTTGAAGTGGTAATTATTTTAAACTGGAGCAAATATGGTCTAGGATGCTTAGGTAATTAAGAAATGTGACAAGCTTTTACAAACAAGCTAAAATGAAGAAATTCATTATGTAAATATGATGAACCAATTTCTACTTATGTAACTGTATAAACTGAAGAATGTCAACATACGCAAAATGCCATATTGTACTAAAGATAAGAAATCTTTAACTACCCCCACCCCTCCAATGTAGCTTTATATCAAACCCTAATGCAGTACACAATCAGTATTACTTTTCACACCTATACTTTTCCACCCTTTTCAGACATCTCATTTTATGGGTGTGGGGTGTGTGGGGTATGTATGTGTGTGAGAGTGACAGATTGAGATATATATATATATGTGTGTGTGTATATATATATAGAGAGAGAGAGAGAGAGAGAGAGAGAGAGAGAGAGAGAGAATGAGAATGATGGAAGCCTACATTCAGACAAATGTAGTGCCCTTTTATAATTTCTGCCCTCTTTTTTTCTGGAGTTTAAGTAATAAGTTTTTTTAAAAAGATCTGTGTCATGTGATACTTTTTTCCCTACTTATACCTCTGCCAAATCTCAATGTCACATTTATTTTCAAAATATTAACAAGTAGGGAGCAGCTAGGTGGCACAGTGGATAGAGCACCAACCCTGGAGTCAGAAGGACCTGAATTCAAATCCGGCCTCAGACACATAACACTAGCTATGTGACCCTGGGCAAGTCACTTAACCCCACTGCCTAGCCAAAAAAAAAAAAAAAATTAATATGTAACTGGGGAAAGGTACCTACTGCATATATGGCACCTAAGGAAACAATCTGAAACCCCCATATCTCAATGTAGTAAAATATAATCTATAATATACATAGATAGACATTCTTATTTACAATAAAAGATTTGGATGAAGTATGAGCAAAAATATTTTGGATAATGTTAAATAAGAGTAATATAGAAATAAGAAGAAATATAAAATAAGGCTCAGGTGTTATTACTTTCAGAACACATAAAAATAAAAATACATAAAAATCCCAAAGATCTTATTGACAAAGTCTTTCTCTATAAAAAAAGTTGGTTCAAAATAAAATAGATCTTAAATATGGGTATTTTTCCTTTTCCTCATCCTACTACTTAAAGGACTTTTCTTTCAAAAAAAATTACAGATTTTGCACATCAACTGTTTGCAATGCAAACAATTCATCAAAGAAACCATATATACCAGAACTGAGTTCAAAAACCCTACAACAAAGATTCATCATTTAAGCAGGTGTTAAGTAAAGAGTATAGAAGTTATCTATTAATTAAACATCAATGTAGACTATTTGAATATATTCATATTATTTTTTTTGACTGAATATCTCTAACAAGGTTTACCGATGATACTATGTGAATATTTTTCCAGACACCTAATTCATGTGTTTTGAATGAAATAGGGACGCACTAGTATTCACATAGTAGAGGGAAAGAACATGGCTATCATGCTACCTAAATGAATTTAATAATGAAGTAATAGTACAACTTGTTGCCAAAATTGCTGCTTAAATTTAGAAGGGATATGGGACCTTATATGTGCACTATTGTGGCAAAGAATATACCATACTTATTTTTCCTGAAAAAGCATACATATTAATATTTTATTTCAAGTATCACCGGAATGTCAACCACTGGGTAGGACTGACTTTGGACAAAATTCTTCATGTAAAATTAGTCTGAGATAAAGTTTCATCTTAACACTAGAAAATGTAATATGTAACTAATGAAAATACAGGAAAGAACAGAAAATCAATCTCCTTCTGAAATGCGAACTGTTATGAGGTCATTTTCTAAATGGTTGAGTTGATGAAGAATTAATTTTCTTACTAAAAAATGATAGCCAGACCATATTCACTCCTATTTGATAACCTGATTCAATTGGCAAGATAAAAAGATGAAGTACCCAAAGGGATAAATAACACAACTGTTAATAAGTTTTAAACTTTATTTACTTGCATACCTGATACTCTTTTTTAGACCTGCTTTTACAGTTCAAAATGAGGGACAATAAACATGGTAAGACTGCCCTGCACTCCCTTTGGGTTCATCTGATTCTCAGTAACATTAGTCTTTTCCTTGGCTTCCTCCTTCTCCAGCTTCCAGTGCAAGAGGAAGGTCATAAACAAACTTGGTCATGCTGTAAAGCAAATCTTTATTAAAGATGCTTGGATCCCAGCTACTGTCATATCTCTCTCACTAAATCAAAGCTGGAGAGGAGTTTCTATTCTTAAATGAAATGAAGAGTACAAGAGTTGGTCTTTTTTTCCTTCAGCTTCTTATTTAAAGGGTCCCATGTCATATTCTTATTCTTTGCATCTCTCTTAGGTTGTATCTGATGAACAATTATTGACTGACTGAATGGGAAGACTCCCTAATAGATGTTCTGGTGGCTTTGACTTCAGAAATCATACCTGAGTTGGAGTATTGGTGGTGGCAGGAGATGGTGATTCACTGATTTTTGGCTCACTTGGGGAAGCTGCTGAACCCTGAGACTCCTGGCTGGCTGGTTGGTCTGGAGACAAAGCATCACTGCTGTCTTCATCAAATGAGAAATCACCCTGAGTATGGGGATAGTCCTCTTGTCCAACCCCTACAGGAAGAAATGACTTTAGTGTTCTCAAGTACCAAAAGCTAAGTTATCTGATGAAAAAGGTGAAAGGTGGAACTTTCACTTCCTAAGATAGTTTAAAAATATCATTTAAAAAAATAGATGTGCTTACTTTAGGTCTGGGTCATTCATAGCCTCCTAGTGACTAGTCTATGAAATCATAATAACCCCTTTTGTTATTAGTTATTAGAACTTACAGTGGTATTTAATTTACTTTTAAAGTAAGATTTGGCAATAGGATAATTTTAAATGTTTATGCAAAAATAGTAATATGTGTTCCTTGATTTTTGGAAATGTGGCATTTTATAAATGAAGCTTATACTAAATAGCTAAATAAACAGTAATAAATTCTTAATAAATTATTTTCCTCACATTCATTAAAAAATTCTCCATAAGAAAAACAAATAATGAGTCTTTGTGCTGTAGTAATGCAATTTGTGAGGCCTACTTTTTCCTTTAATAGAGAGCCATCTGCTGTTCATATTTCGTCATGTACAATACCAAAAAAGCTTTCATCTTCTTAAAAAGTAAATGAGTAGTTTGTAAAAACATATAAAAAATGAAACTCAATGAAGACAGAATAAATTTAATGTGTAAAGTATTTACTGTGGACAGTAGCAGAGCATGAGAGTCCTGGGTCTGGAAGACCTGAATTCAAAGTCCACTTCAGACATTTCCTAGATCTGTGACCTGGGCAAGTCACTTAACCTTTATTTGCCTCAGTTTCCTTATATATAAAATGGGGATGGTGTTGTTGCAAGAATCAAATGAGATAATATTTGTAAAAAGCACTTAGTACAGTGCCTGGCACATAATAGGTGCTGTACAAATGGTATTATTATTATTGTTGTTATTATTATTATTGTTATTAACAGATGACTGCTTCCACTTCTTGTGAAACATGAAAGGAATCAAGTTTGTATCAATGATTAAACAGAGGTTATTTTTGTGATAATGTGGAGGAAAAAGTAGTAACTGGAAATATTAGTGGAGAGACAGTCAATGAAATCTTATTAGCTTTGGATTTAAGTTTTTCTTTAAAAGCTCTTTTCTCTAGAGTAGTAAGGATTTTCAGCCTTGCCTATAATTGCTTCCTTAACACAGGAATCTACAGGAAGGATGTTCTTTTCCACTAGTTCCATTGGACCAGGTCTTTGAGCAATCTTCTCATTCAGATCATCTGCCAGTCGAGCTCTCTTCAGTTTCATCTGTGTAGCCTGCAGAGAGGGCTCTGCAAATGTTTCTAAAAGAGGAAAGATAATTTTGATCATTACTTAATAAACTATTACTATCTTATGATATTACTTCTGACCATCATATTTAACTTAAATCTGATTTTCATAGGTTGTCAATATATTTACGGGGATGACATGGCTGTTTGGTCACTGGTAACTATAAACTGTTTTACATATTAGAATATATTTTATATATAATTGTCTCTAGAGCCTCAAATTAACATGAACTTGAATGTTTGAAAAGCATAATATAAAATTACCTGATCATTTATCACGGGAAGTCAAAATTCATATTCCTGATTGCTTTAAGGAAGAGTAGGTATATAGTTTCTCAATTTTCTAGGCTATTCCATATGGTTAAATCAATACACAATCATGGCTTGAGAGAAGTAGATTCTCAATTTACTCTAATGCCATGAAAAGAAGCTGCTGGTTTTTTGGTTTGTTCTCCTTTGGAACATAAATTTTGATATGGCAGGCACTGTGTTTTTGATTTACTTGAAAATTACAATACTCAAGTGGACTGCAATATTCACGATAAATGTGAATGAATATGGGACAGCTACCATTTTATAATTATTAGTCAATCCTCAATCACTCAGGGAAGGATAATATAACATTTATCTGGGGTTTTTATTCTTCCTTTCTGTGATGCTTTTGATTATAAGCATATCTAAAGAATTGGACAGAAAGAAAGGAGATGAAAATTAATCCATGTTTATTTCTGACTGTTCCTGAATCACACATCTCAAATGAATGTTTCAGATGTCCTTCTGAACTTAGAGCAACAAGAACGTCTTGTGTTTGTTATGTATTTGTACTACAGAATAACTATGGTACAATCAGAGTTACACTTGTGTTTTAGAAAATAATTTACAATAATATTAATTTTCCCTCTTGAAAACGTAAAAGCATTAATACATTTGTTGCTTAACTTTTGTTCTTTCAATTTCCTATTGCTTATTTGTACTTCCTCTCAAAGTCTTGTCTTATTGTCATAAATAAATGTAGAATTCATTATAATATGTGCTTACCAAAAAATCAAAGTTGAAAGTTGTTGGCCTTTTTAAGAAATCCTGGAAGATCATACATGGCAAGGGCAGGAAAACTGAAAACCAAGGTGCCTTAAAATGCTCTTTCCATGAGCTTATTATTATTAGGATGGGAGGTGGGAGAACAATGGCAGCCAGCCCTCCTTTTTAATCAGTGTCTTCCTAATATTCCCTTCCCTTGCCTAGGTATTAGAAATATTTCTTCACTTAAGAGTACTAGTTTCTTCATTATAAACATTGACTTTTCCTCTGGGGACATTAGGTCTCAGTTATTTAAATTCAAAATCAATGTATAATCTTGCTTGCTAAAAGTTTAACTAAAAATAGCTTACTTTTAAAGTATAGGGTTTGTTTTCTTCTGCTATACTATTTTAAAAAATTATGGATGGAAAGTTCTTTCTCCATAGTAAAAAAAAATCTCAATTTGAGAATGAAAGCCCTCCTCAAGCTGTTAATGGTTAACGCCCAAAGAAGGACAGAAAAAAAAAGAAAAAGAGGAGATAATTCTTGTCAGCAGGTTAAGCCAGAACTAAGGGCTTTTCACAGGAGTCTGTGACATTTGTTGTACAAGTCCCTAGCTAGTTGATTATGATTTGCCAGTCAAGTTTCAAGACTCTGAAGCTGCTTACATGGTCCTCTTCCCAAGACTTATGAACATTCCAGTTACAGAAAGTGAAAAACAGATCTTATTCTAAAAAATGTTGATGATTCCAGCTTATTTTATGACTAGTTTCTTGGCCTAAAGGTCTCATGTGAGAATAAAGAGCAAAGCTTAGGAAAACTGGGTGTGTTGGGAGGAACGCTTTCTTCTCCCTCTTTATGGTTACTTCATCTACAGTCATGAATAATTCTGAAAGTCTTCAACAGAGTTTATGAGAAGAGATAACCACATAATAGGGTTGCCTAGCATTCAAAAAGGCTTTTCAAGTACTTTGAACAGTGCAATAGAGACACCTACAGTACCAGTGGTAGGATTAGTTGATTTTTTTTTTTAATACTAACAATAGAAATTACTGGGTCTTTTGCTTCCATCTAATTTTTGTAGCTCTCAGAGTTGTTAAAATGAAAATTAATGGTGTAATTATCTCTTTTTTGTTAAGAAATTAAGTTACCAGATGGCCCTTACCTTCCAAAATGTGCATTCTGACAAGTTCGGAACGATCTGGTCGACTACGTATCTTGTGCTTCAGAAAATTTTCAGTCTTTAAAAAGAAAAAAAAAAGATCTAGTTCCATTTTATTATGAACTAGATTTTGAGTTTTTTTGGCATATTTATATCAACCCAAGTCCTCTATTATATTCATGCATATGAGAGGAAAAAGAGAAAGTAGGAGGCATCACATTATTCATAACTTTAAATACTGTCATATTAGGTATTGGTATTATGAATGGAAGAAGCGACAAATGAATAGCTACAGTATTAAATGTTAACACCAAGTGTTAAAATATAACCTTATATCCTCAGAAAATGTACTTCAACACTAAAAGAATATGTTTCAGGGTAATAAGTTAACAAAATATATCTACAAGAAGGTTAAGAAACCTGTGTAATGAGAAATTTTCTAATATGTTTAATATGGTTTTGTTTTATATGTATGGCATTATTTTCCTTAACTTAAGGCAAAGAATACACAGGTTTAAGATTTTTTTTTGCCCTTCAATTAGAACATAATGGTAAACTCCTAGATATCTTGAAAAAGTTCTCGAGTCAAAATATTTTTTTAGACTTCCCTGAATATTTATGTAAATGACATGGAAGTAATTTTCCAAGAGGTCCATAGGGATGGGACATAGATACATGCAAATTATTTTTCTAAAGCAAAAATTATGAACCATCATATTTATTAACTATTATGTTATAAAGGAGATAGATTTGAAATTTGAATACTAAACACAAATCTGAATAAGCCTAATATTGTCTTTCATTCAGCCTGATTCTACCACTCTTGGTTCAGAGATACAGGTAATGTAACTTCTGTGAGAAAAGTCCTTTGTGGGTTTGTGAGTGGGAGTGAGAATGCATCATTTCTACAGGAAGGAAGATGGAAGATCCCCCCGCCCCCAACCTCTCCGAACACATGTCCAAAAAATGTACTGCTATGCCCTGCAGACCAGGAAGAAGAAATAGGTCAATTCTGTAATGAGTATACATTACTAGCTTAAAAAAAAAGTTGGCTGTCATTAATTTTTTCACAAACCTTTAAAGTTTAACTGTCATACGACATTATTATTTTATGTTGAATATGAGTTGTTTAAAATCTCAGATTCTAGCAATATGTCCACTTCCTGTCTGCAGGTACTTTGGAATACCCAGAAATAAAGCATTTTGAATCAAATTTCTTACTCTGGCTCTTTCTAAGCTTTTTATCTGCTCATGGAATGCCGCTGGACTCTTTAATGCTGTGAAGAGAAAATAAATAGTTACTTTAACAGGAAAAGATTTTCCTAACATCAGTACAGGGAATTACTATTTTAAAAGTTAAATCTTATAAACCATTATATATTTATGTTTCTTATTGGCTTCTTCTTGTCTAAATAATACAGGTTATTTACTGAGTTATTTAAGGAGTTAGCTCATTGAAAAATTTTAACTCTTATGGGCTGAGATGAGTATTTTCAAAGATTTTTTAAATTTACCATGTGCTTAATCAATATTTGTTTGAGTTAGTTATTTGTATCAAGTAATATAAAACAAGAGTGAATTAAAAGTATGGATCATGTATTAACAAGCAAAACAATGGCAAAGTTAGTGTTCCAGCCAATATACCAGACAAATTCAGATGATTCAAATTAGCACTGTGAGGATTTTCTTATCTACTATTGCTTTTCTTTATTTTGTAAATGTATGACCAGAGTACCAGGATCATAGGATCACATATTTCTAGTTCAAAGGAATCTAGTCCTATATGCTCATTTTACAGATGAGGAAAATTTGTGCCAAATGTCACTAAAGTTCAAAGTGACAGAACTAGAATTCTAATACAAGTCTTCTGGCTCCAAATCCCACATTTCCCTACATAGCTATGCAAAGCAAGATTACCTGGTTATATGGGATAAAGTGCAGAATACTCATGGATTCCAAAAGCTCTATGACATAGTTTGAACCTAAACAAAGAGACTATTAAACTCCTTCAAAAAGACAGCTACTCACATGTCTGATAAGTGAATTTTTAACTGGAATATCAACTTAGTGAAAATCACCCTAATGATGCAAAGGAGTGTTTATCAAAATAGTACACATTTTGGATTCGAATTAGTCGTTTCTTCTATTTTTTGTTTTTCGGCAGAGCATCTACCACCATGTACACGTAACACATTTATCACTATTGACTATTTTGTACTTGAAGCATATGACTAATCTTACGTGGGCTGATCTTTCACCTCCAGACCTGGACTGGTCAGCTCTTGAAAACTATAGTGTTATTTTGAGCTCTGATGCTTGGGACTCTGCAAAGGTTCATAGGAGCCAAACCTATGTATGTGTGCCAGGCCTGACCTGTGCCTAGCTCCCAAAAGCAGGTTTGGGCAAGTGACTGCTTGAACATCATAGTCAATTCATTTGCATATTCCTGCCCAATTGACTGATAGTAAAGCTTGTTGTAGTGATGTGGCTATGAAGATTATCATACCAGCTTTTGTCTTAATCACAATGCAAGAGGTAAAAAATTTTTATCAAATGAAGAGAAAAATTATATAACTATATAGAAGAAAAAGATCACTCTCAATGACAGAGAAATTTGGGGAGAATTAATTCTGCCTCAGAATTTTTAGGCTGGAAATGAAATTGCTTTTTGGAAGGGGTCAATTTATAAATACATAATTAAGGAAATAACCGTATGTGATTCTCTAAAAACCTCCAAAAAGAATACAATCTGGGGCATACCACAAAACTTTTAAATGTACATTTCCATAATTTAGGCACATTTGGTTATATAAACTATATAACTGCAACAGAAATGTATCATTTTAATGACATCATGAACACAAGCTTAGGATTTTATACTTGGCTTACTTAAACACATCTAGGTAAGCACAAGTCCTTTATATAAAGTACAGTTAATCTAATATGAAAATAAGTTTTTCAACCATTGTGTAAAAGCAAAAAAAAAAATTCATTAGACAATTATCTTTTAAAGATTTGCAATGATTTTATATAAGAAAACTCAAACTATTCTTTTAAGGAATATATATTTTCTCAAAAAGTAATTTAAATACTATTGGTGAGGAAATCCCTCAACAAATGCCCATCAGCAACTGTTCTGCAACAGTTTCTCTGTGTGTATGCGTGTGTGTGTGTGTGTGTGTGTGTATATATATATATATACACACACACATATGGTTTGCGTGTATCTCTGTATATAGATACATAAATATCTTCATGAGTCAGCTGCCTGGGGCACTATGATTAAGTGACTTGCATAGGGTCACAGCAATACTTGAACCCAGGTCTTACTGACTCTGAAGCCAACTCTTTATCTATGATATCATGCTTCCTCTCACTAGGAATTACCAACAATGATGGGTCTGGAGTAAAATTACCCCATGATGCAGTGCCCTCCTACTCCCTGCAAATCTCCACACCAACACTTTTTCAGGACAGGATTTTTTGACCCCTAAAAACTCCACTTATGAATTTACTTTGTATTAAATGGTTATCATCAACGATTCTGTTATTATAAATTCTCTTCTTAGACAAGTTCATTTTGACAGCTATTGTTGTAGGTCTGAATTTTAAGTGACTCTTATAAAGTATGTCTTACGTGGCATGATGCCCTGGTCCACTAGCTGTTCCCTTGTCCTTCGTTGTTGTAGCCTCAACTGTAATACTAGAAAAAAGAAAAAATAATTAATGTGAGATTTCAAGAGCCAATACAATAAATTCTGGAAAGATACAGTTAAGTTCTACAGTTAAATTTTAATAATTGCCAAGCAAATAGTGACATTTGGCCATCTATTTAGACTATAACCAGACAGGCAGAATATAACTAACTTGTGGTCTTCATTCCTGACACATAGGAGGTGCTTAATAAAAACTTTTTTTTAATTGATAGAATGATTTTTAAAAAATAAAATGAACTCTAAAGTTAATTCACTGTAATTTTTATAACTAAAAGTCTTTATATCATTCTCTAATGAAATTCTGAATTCTCCTAGTTTTTAACTATTATATTTGCTGTTTAAAGATCACATATATAGTAAACAAGAGGTTATAAATCTAAGTTAAGATGTGGGAGCAATTCTTAGAAACACAAAAATTCCTTCAAATAACTATTTAATGAAAAAACTTTTCTTATGGAAAGATTAACTTAATTTTGTATTTTCCCCAGCATGAATAAATTCATATTATCTTTAAATAAAGAATAAAAATGCATAATAAGAATAAGGTTGACATCCCTGTGTGCTTTTTTGAAATACTAGAACCCCCAAAATATAAACTGAGTTCTTAGTCTAAAGTCTGATTATTGTTGCATAGAAATAACAATACTACATTCCATTCTGGAATTTGTAAAATGCTTTATCATTTTGGCCTAAGATGCCAAACTTTGAGAGCTGGTTGAGAATACTAAATATGCCATTAAATGAAGAAATCAATTTTGTTTAATAAGACTCCAAATATTCTGTTAAGGACTCCAACCAACATCAAATGTGGCTTTAATATGAAATGTGTAAATTCTGAGACATCTCATTAAGAATTCAGCTGTGAAGCAATTATTTTAGTGTTTCAAAACATTTTTATCTTGAAAAGTAACTTATTTCAAAAAGAAAATATGAGTTATTTGTAAAAGATAATTTTCTTATCTGTTTGAGTTTCATTTTAAGTGTCAGTATAATAAAAAAGAGTTTTGGAATCAGAGAATCCGGCTTCAAATTCCAGCTGATATTTATTTTCTGCACATCCCTACACCAGCCACTTGACCTCGCCGGATCTCAGTTTTCTTCTCTGCGAAATGAGGAAGCCAGATCTGATGACCATTAAAGTCCTTTCTGTTCTAAATTCAATGAGGCTGTGCTTGTTAGGGTCATAAAACCTCATTGATATCCAGTTTAGGGTAATAGAAAAGGCTGCTTGCTGGTCACTGATATGACAGGCCAAAGAATATCCTACTAAGTTATACTTGTTGAAACATTCTTTTCACGTTAAAATGTTTTGAGATACTTTGGATTGATAGTGTTCCAATACGAAGTTCTCTCTCATGATAACTTTTAGCTTTTAGGGATAGTATGTTCCCATTGTGCTTTATTGGGAACAAAAATAATCTCAGGAAGTGACCTGTAGAACTGATGGCACCAAAATGGCTGTACATTTTAGCAGTTGGCTATGAAAGACAAAGCAATACTTTTCAGAATATGAGAAGCAATATCCAACAAAAGAGGAATTTTGAAAGGAAAAGGGAAAGAGGGGAGAACAACTTGGGTTTAAATAGGGACTAATCCTTCAGAAACATGACAGCAGAAATCTGCTGGGAACTTCTGATATCAGTTTCATTGTTACTTTAGAGTCTTAGGAGAAGAACAGAGGCAACAAAGAGAAGTGATAAAGGAAAAATACTTTTTAAAAAAGCCATCTTGTGATACAAATGTATCTAAATGGAAGTATCTCAGTTACTGCACATTCATGGAACATGGGCAGTGATGTTCTTTTGATTACTTGGTTTGCAAACATGGGCCATGGATATTTAATATTTTTATTACACTAACTAAAAAAGATTACAGATTGTACACTGTTCATTTCAGCTACCCTTTATGTCAGATAGAAACACTGTCACTTTATATTTGAAAACAAATGATAAATGTTGATATATTCGACAATCTATTATTAAGGTAACATAACCAACAACATGGGATTTTTATACTACCATTCAGCTTTTACATCCCACTTTCTAGCTATTATGTTCCAAGACAAAATGTTTCATATTTTATTATAGTAGTTCTGTCTGGAGATTGAGAAGTGATCTTTCCATTAAATTTATCATTGCTTAAATATTTTCTCTAAGCAACAGGAGATACTTATTGTCTTGCACACACTATTACTCAAATAATAATTATTTTCTATCAATTCCCTGACACGTGAGTTCATTTGACCAAATATTTTTGAGCATCTTCTATGTACAAAGCACTGTGCTATGTAATGAGGGGCCAACAAAGATGAGAAACAAAGCAGACAGATTGTGACATACAATAGTTATAAACAGAATGTAAGTGAAGGCATTAGGAAGAACATAATTCTAAGAGTCAAATCCACAAACAACTACAAAAGCTTTGTGTGACTTTTGGTTACTAGCTGTTAATTTCTCCATTTATGTCCACATACTGAAAACATATTACCAGCAGCATCATATTAGACAATAAGGACAAATAATACTATATCACCATGGGGTAAGAAAGACATGAAAGAGTGCTTGCTTGTCATGTGAGAGGGTAACAGTATTGATACCTTCATTCTTCACTTTCATTCTGGCTGCTTAGCTCAGTTGGTACCAGTATCTTAGAGTCTGTCTCTCACTAGCCAATTAGCTTTGAAATATGCCTTAGGTACAGCCATTAAGCAAGGACATGCTACTGGGCAAAGGAAGATAAGCAAGCAAGTGAGCATGTCAGTGCACATTCATCATCATCAAGACTTGGGAAGTAGAGCATTTATAAGATAATAAAAAAGTACTTTTGTAAGAATCTTGACATTTTGCTAAACCAAACATTTATTAAAAATTCATTAGGAACAATGTACTGTTAGACAGCAAAGATAAAAAAGATAGCTTTGGCACAAACCCTGCAATTGAGAAGCTTATTAATATAAATAGAGCTCAGCACTCTTTGATATTTTTAAGAAAAAGTTTTATTAAAAAAAATTCACACATTACTCAGTTTCCAAGAATGACTATATAAAATCAACATTTTTAGCTTCACACAGGATTTGTATTATCGGAAAATCTTGTTGACAGAAAACATACTTAGCACGTTTATTGTACAAATAAGCACAACTGGCCACAGCCACAATCAGAATTCCAGAAAAACTGTTAATTTCCAGACTAAGGACTTAATCAAAGGAGCTGAAATTATACCTACTATAATGTGCTTATCAGAAATCACTTTTCCCTATGTGGCCTGAATTCCAGACTTTTATACTTTTTTATCCAGTGCTTTTTATACAGGCACTATCACATTAACCAGCACTGGAAATATAGTTGTCTTTACTAATAAATTATCTCAAGTTAATAGAGGGTCATAGGTGTCTCCCTTTCTTGATGAAACATATGTAAAATGCTATGTTCTTTAATCACAAAATTAAAAAGATAAATATTTTTTATATTTCTAAAGAAATGTGGGTTTGTGAGTACACAAACACAAATTCCCCACTCAAAAATACTACTGAATCTTATTTCAATATAATATTTTTATAATCCCCTAATATTGTGTCTCCCACAACTGAGAAATTGGAAAGCCGTTAAAAACCAACAAAATCTAATCCTCACAGCTAGCTTAAAAAAAAAACAACAACAGAAGTAAGGTACTTGGAGTGGTATTGTGTTAGCTGAACTACTTCATATCTGCGCTGTAGCACCAAATTGGTGTTTTAGGATCAATTTTCACTTAGAAATGCATTGATTTTGTTCAACTGCTGCTATTTAAATACTTAAACAGTTTCTCAATTGCTGAATTTCAAATGCTTCTTCATTTGGTTCCTCTTATCTTTGTTATTGATTACATTTTCTACTTTACATGTCCTTCAAGGAGCTGGGAAAAAGATTTAATTCAAGATGTATCATAGGGAAAATATTTTTAGGTATAGGGACTGGACCTAAATACCTGTTGGTATTAAAGAACTCCCAGGAAAGGAAAGTCCTACCAATGCATCTTTATAGTACTGAGAATTGCTCAGAACACTGAAGAGAGGTTAAGTGACTTGCTCATGGTCATACAGCCAATCAGAGGTACCAAGGAGAATTGAACCCAAGTTTCCCCAGTTTCAAGACCAGTGTTCCTATTCAACTACGTCATGTTTCCTCTCTGCAAATAAAAATTTTTTTTAAAGATTTTTATGTTTCTATTTTTGTATATTGCAGCTAACTTTTGTGTCGTGTTCTCCAAAGAGAAATTATTATTTTAGACATGAAGCAAAAGAACTAAGCTAACGTAGTCTGACAATTTTACAACTATTACATTAAAATTAATTTCAAATGTTTCTGATGTGGCTCAAAGAAAGATACCATTTCACTGCAAGTAGAAAATATTATGTCACCTTAAGGATATAGAACAGTTTAGTATAAATTTAGCAAGTCTGAACAAAACACAGTCTCTTGCCTGAGCAATTTGCAAGGACACATGTGAAGAAAAACCAAGTTTGAGGTGATATTTTCAAATAGAATGCATGGCATATGGCCATGTTAGCTGGAAATAAACAGGTTAACCTGAAATTATTCTTTTATGGGTAGTGGTGGTAGTTTCCAGTCTAAAGGATAACAGAAGGAAACAAAGTGCTAATGAGTGGCTGGGCATTGCTTAGAATAAAATGTGGAAATATGAGTGGGTGAAAAGACAGAGAGCTATTGGCAGAGATTTCACAGACCAAAGGCAGCAACAGAGGTACAGAAACAGAGAATGTTTTAAAAATCATTAGCTCAAAGGAATAAAGGCATATATTAAGGCAAAAAATGAGGTAAAGGAAATAAGAAAATAATCCTAGCAAGGGATTATTCTTAAGACACAAGAGTAGTCAAGGTTAGAAAGAAGTATCTGAGGTTAAAAAAAGGATAGCCCACAGAGTAACATAGTAAGAAGCGGCAGGGTTTGGGCAAGAACTTGGTATGTACTATTCAAATATCATTAA